ACATTCGGGGTATGGTGGCATGCCCAGCTGCAAGCTCACGCCGTGCCGATTGAAATCCGAACCCGGCCTGACGCTTCGGACTCTCCCTCGAACTCATCGCACCAGGAGGGACCATCGATCATCAGTACCGGAGCTGCTAATTTGAATAGGCGTGTGGTCGCATGGCAACCGCATCCCCCCCCTTCCCCCGGTTCGTCTATCACCCTCATCTGCGACCGTCTCTGATAGCGGGTTAGAGAGGGAATCCGAAAGGGCCGGCAAAGGGAACTTTTGTTCCTGCGATCTTAACGCCTTCTTCTTAATGTAACAATTAAACACACTTGGTTCTGAGCAGGCAGATCATCCCTTGCTGTCTAGCCTGTCTTTACGAGGTGGGATGCAGTAAGACCGATTTAACAAAGTAGCGGCTTACGACCGTAACAAGTAGTTAATTACATAGACAATCGCTTCAAAGTAGGCTTACGTAGATCAGGGTTACCACAGAGATAACGCGCGTCGGTTAGCCCGTCAACAACGGTAGCATCTGCGAATAAATTCCGCATAAAAACCCTTGAAAGTAGGGCAAGATAGATCCATGGTATCCTTTGATTTCACTTCGCCCTGCACTTTCATTTCACAGCATCTAGCGGTGTGAATCAATTATTGACTGAGCGCTGTGAGGAGAGAGACAAACCCATGAAGTCAGAATATCAGCTAGGGCTTCTGCGACACTGCCTTAAGACCTCTTTCGCCACTGACAGACAAGTGCACGAACCAATTAAAGGCACTCCTACGAGATCCCTCTGTAAGGTCTGATTCCTGGAGCGGTCCTTAAACGGATAGAACACTTGGTGTTCGTCAGGTATCAGCTAAAGTTTTGGCCTCGTTATGTCGACGAATTATTCGTCGTTGCCAAATAGATTGACATCTAGCACCTGCAGGAATTAAAGAACTCGGTTACTCGAATATCAAATTCCCGATAGAGGCTGAAATATGCAAACAGCTGTCCTCCCTTAACGTGCTTGTGCACCGGTGTGGAAACTGCAAACTACAGTATTCAGAAAAACCACCAACATAAGACAAATACAACACTTCACAAGCAATCGTTTTCTGTATCATACACGTGACTATGTTCGTACTCTACTCCAAAAGAGTACTGCATCAGGACACAAGACGTAAGGGCCGAACAACTATGCCTTCTGAGCTTATTCACAATTACCGGTTATACCAGCCATTGTACAGAGAAAAGCAGGGGCCAAACGCTCAGACAACGGCCAAAGGAGCAGCAACCTGATGCCTGGGGGCTATTCTCTACATTAAAGTGGTCTCCGGGCGGTCTCTCGACTGTTACAACGCGCCAGAGTAGGCGTAGCACATCGACCCCACACAACCATTCGGAGTTGTTTGATGCGACCTACGGACACGCTGTCACCCACTGAAACCTCAATAGTTGCCTAAAAAATAAGCTGCGATGATGGGGACTGCAACTACGTTGGGGAACCCGGGCGGGAATAGCAGACCCGCCTATAAGAGTACAACTTGCAACGCACGCTGGAGAAGCTGCCCATACTTTCGATCTTCAGGGAGCTGCCACCTTAGGCCGACGCAAATCCAAGGTAGAACGACTACCACTTGAGGCGTGGTACTCAGGAACCAACTCCACCAATAGGCATTTGAACCTTCCCGCAACAAACAAAGTCCTGCGTCTGTACGTTCACGAAGCTCGGGACAAGACAACCACACAGGAGTTAAGAAGAAAAAGAGCCACCAGACTGACCAACCCCGACAGGGACTCAACAACCTCACCTCGATGAGGTGGCGACTCACAACGCATGCAACTAAAAAGTCCGCCAAACATCCCCCGAAAGACCGTAGCAGTGAGAGAAGAGAAAAATCGATCAGCCGACGGCGCGGCATGCCAATTCTATTTCTATTTGATTAAGTGCATTTTACGCTTTGGCAATGGTGAGCCGACCAATCTCTCCGAACGGTTAACATTTCAATAAACCTGTTCCGGTTCGCCATTCTCAGTTCTCAAATTATCAACCCGGATTTCTCAACTTTGCCAATTTGAGTTGAGTATTCTACCTAGGCTTAGTCTCAGCACTGAATATGAGAGAGGCAGATCATTCCACTTGTTAATAGACCGCGAACTAGTGAGCTATGACTAAAGCAGCTAGCGGTTCAAGCGATTATTAACTCTGGCGAGAATTTCGGCCTCGTTGAAATTGAATGTGTGGTTGGGTCCCGTCAAACTAGCTGCGACTTGAAAAATGGCATCATATCTCCACATTGCTGCCGCGTGTTCGACTATTCGCGTCCAGAGAAGTCTTCCGGAGTTGCTCTGTCCGCAACCCGCCATACCCGATAAACAACTCCAGACGTTTCTTGCCGTGGCAGTTGATCCTCACTGCTTGGCATCTAACGATTTCCTTCGGCCTGAGTGCAATCCAAACTCCAAGTGGTGCGAGAGAGCGGCTAACGGCCTCCGAGACGTTCTTCACGTATGGATGGCGAGTCCAGCTTGAATCCGAAACGTCGAGCGAATAAAGCTCGTTCCAGTGATCGCACCTACTTCATTTCGAGTACTTCCTAAGATTCGCATCTTCGCTCGTATCAGGAGTGCGCACCACAAGTCTAATGCGCGCATACCATCCAGACTGAGTGAGGAACCGTGCTATCGGATTCCATTGCTCAAGTCTCATGTTAACAGAAATCAACTGGACTCCTAAAAGCTATGCACCGGCGTATTTGTCGAAAGATATTATGGCGTTGACATTTTGTTATACGCATTTTCCAGACTGGTTTCACAGCCGGTCGCAGGTCTACAGGCATGGGGAAATAAAGTGTACAGTAGCTCTCTTAAGCCCGAACCAACGCGTGCGCACCAGACCAGAAGCTCACGTCGACTTTGCCTGGAAGATGATTCAGTTGTAATTGGGGCTACTGATGCGTATTTTGCTGAGTCATCAAACCGCACAGCGTCAACGAACTCACAGGCTTTCAGCAATGATTACCATAAAAAGTGCATGCTTGATCTGGATCGAAGAGAAACCATAGACGGAAGTTCACTCAGTCGGGTAATAGAGGGTTTGCCCACTCGGCAATTCTACTCTGCCCCCCTTCCCACCTCGGTGCAGCATTCCGGAAACAATGTCTGATCCCTACATGGCCCTCAAACTGCAGGGCCTAAGTGTCCTTCGGTTTGTGGATTGATGCGGGCTTATTACAGTGCAAGGCCGTGGACGCACGACTTCCCTAGTCCTGGCGGACACACACTAACCTGACAAACACAGGAGAGGAGGTATCTGACATACAGATGGTATCACTGTAACCGTGCTTTATGAGGAAGCGAGAGGTGAGCTCTGATTGGTTGGCGGCAGTTGCGCGACCACGGCGTCGCTGATTAACACACTGGCTTTCCGGGTAGTTCGAAGAGTCCGCACTTCTGAAATTCGGCTCCCACAACAGGCTGCGCTGCAGATGGGCTGAACCAAGACGCAGGTCGGATGGGCTTACAGCACGCGTTAATCAGACTGCGCAGAGTTCGCACAAGCCCATAATTTCTGCCGTACACGGGGAGGGGGATATGACTGGACGACTAGACGTACTGCACTCGATCCTACCATCCCCTGATTGACAGGCTTGGACAGTCGACTGCTGCATGGGAAGGGAGGAGAGGGATCAAAACTGAGGGACCCATCCCCACGGCAAACCAGCGCATTCCTCACTACAATAAATCCCATTCGCCGGAAAAAATTGCGATACGCTAAAAGTTGTGGCTTGGAAGACTGCCAACTGGCAGGATAACTTGGTCCTTCTCAATGGCCTGTTTGACACTCAACCGCATGAGATGCCAGCCACTTTTACAGCAGCCTGACAATGCTGTGGGAACGGGCTCGTGTGTGGCACGCGTAGACGGGCTGTTCAGGTTTGTTAGTCACCAAATACGCATCCACCGCCGGCCATTTTGATATTGCCTTCTGCAAGTCTGCTATCACTAGGAGCCAATTCACGTCAATGTCATGAGCCAATGTCGCCGGACACATTATAGACGTCGTCGTTCGCGGCGATCGAATTGTCCTGTTTTTTGCTGTTTTAGTTGTTTGCCATTGCACACTGCACCACCCTCCCCCCTCCGCAAACCCTCCAACACTCCTTCCATAGGGAATCGGCTTTGGTCAAAAACAAGAAAGCGGTGGTGGTGATGGTGGTGGAAAGGGGCTGCCAGCTGCTGCACAGCTTCTGACGCCAAAATGCTTCCTAGTTTCCCTCTCAAAGCATCTCCAGGTGCATGATGTCAGAGTATGCTCACCAATGACGGCCTGAGCGGGCACGTAGACAAGGCCCAGGGTAACCATCATGATAGCCAGGGACTTGGGAAGACGGCTGGGACCGACCCAGTCGGCGAGAACGACCATCATTTGAGTCATGGCGGTTCCACTGCAGACTCCATGGACAGCAAAGCAGAAAAAGAAGCCCACGTAGAGGCTCGTCGACGGCTTTGGACCCCACAGCGACTGAAAAGAGAGCGGAGGAGGACACCAGGTAATCGAAATTAGAAGGCATACGTTCAGTCTAAAAGAAGTGAACGGGTTCTGGGCTGCCCCCAAATAACTGCATCAGTATTTTTGTGACGAAGAGGCTGCTACTGACTGCTGGCTCACTCGTGCGATCTCTGCCCCCTGCCCGGCTGTCGTAGTCGTTGAAAGGTCTGTGTGCCTGTGGGCCCCCCCCGCCCTCATAACCGGATGGGCTAATCAGCTGCCTTTGCATGTGCGAATCATGCTCGGCTGTTTGGGCGCGTCGGCGGGTCAATGTCTCGCGTTGGTCGTGTATATATACATATATATATATATATATATATGGAAGAGGAGGATGAGGCGATCTCTGCGGAAGAAGGTTTATTCATCTGACGTTTCGTGTTCATGCTCGAGCACATCTTCGGAGATAGGCTAAGTGAGAAATACAGGGTTTAAATAGGCCATCTGCACTCTCACCCGATAGGTTCGTCCCGTTCGCTTCTCGTTGGCCCCCCTCTCGCGCGTAGATGGTGCCTGACGGCCTCGTATGGCGCTGGCAAATCGATATATATATATATATGCTAAGTGGTAGATGGGCGCACACCGATCATGTTAAGAGACACACTCACTTCGTTGTGACTTGTGCCTAAATCTCGGGCCCTGTGAGCAGTTGTTCAGCGGCCAGCAGCATAGGCATAGGGAGACTGAAACAGCAGTTTCTGGCCCATTAGCCGGCCAAAGCCAATCCCAGGTTTTACAACTCCTGAGGCTCGAACCTGAGACCTGTTGGTTAGGAGTCCAACGCCCCAACCATTTAGCCACGGGCTCGTTTTCCCATTTGCCTATAATATTAGCTGATACTGGCGGAGCTCAAGACTGAGTCAAAGAGCAGAACGAGACGAGTGTATCGCTTAAATTCATCGGTGAGCGTCCCTCTACCATTGTTTATACGCCCGACCTCAACCGATAGGGCAACAGTCCACGAAGAAACCTGGGGTTTGGCGTGGCTGGCTAATGACGGCTAGTAAACTAGAAATGGCCACTCGAGTCTCCCTTGTCTTTGTCGGCGATCTCTTTCTGTTCAGTTCAGAAGAAGATGCGATCACTGCAACGAGAAGTTTATTAGTCCTTGCCTGCGACTGTCCCAGATGATGGGTTCGAGTGAGAATCCGAAAAGTCGGGTCACTAAACTTTTTGTTCCAGCGATCGCATCTTCTTCTTCGGATCCTTGTCTGCTTTTAAAACGTCAGGAGAATACAAACTATGATTCCCGAGATCGCCTTTATCCTCATTTATGTCCAGGAAGGAGCATCGTTTCTATTAGCATATGTATATATGTACCTCTCGCTGAAATGTATATATATACATATATGAATAGCTGAGGTAGTGTGCATTCCGAGGTAATATGATGAAGATAGAAGGCTCGTCGGAAAAAATCGAGTTGTACTCGTGAATTTTCGAGCTGGTGACACCTAGCCGTCGTCCGACGAAATAAACGGAGGAGAAACGGAGGAGGAACGAGTGAGTTCCGTAAGAACGATCGGTGAGCGCCCCCTACGATCATTATATGTATATAAATTTGACGTGAAGAGCGGATTCAGAAGAGTGAAATAATACCTGAGAAACGTGGACGGAATCGACTGACCAGGAAACTGAGGCAAGTTCACCAAAGGCGATCGCATTGAAAGCCTCCACGAGCCAAGTCACTGCAAGGAAGGTGCCCCGTTTGCCGACGAACAAGGGCAGGTCTGTCAGCCAACCGAAGACGAGACGCGACAGGAGGTCCACCACACCAGCGACTGCAATCGCGAGACTGGTCTACATACGGAAGGGAAGACTCAACTCAGATGCAGCACATATGGGTTTTAATAGTTAAGCAGTTTTGTAGATTTTTTCTACGTGCATGAAGCGACAGCAGCATCCAGAAAGATCGGTTTCAGAGAATACAGTGTGTTTGCCGCGTTGTATAACGAAAAGGGCAATACGATGGAGAGCAGCATTCGGAGGAAGATGCTTGTGTACTGGGCGCGCACCCGACTGTGAGGTCAACAAGGTCACCAACCATTGCAACTTTAAAATGGTCATTTATCTAACCCATCGTAGGTGGCTAACTCATGAAAGGTCAGTCGAACTTCCGAAATGCGTTTTAATTTCGAAAATATTAATTAAGTAGGCTTGTTAAACTAATTACCCTGCAGCATAATTCTATGATAATTCCCTTAATGCGAGATGTCGGCTTTCGAAGGAACTTCTTTTCAGCTGCATGCAAAAACGATACTCCGTAAAAAGTGACTACTTAAGTGGCACGTATTTTTCTCATTAATGTTCGATGCCCTCACAAATGCAATTATGTTTCATGAAAAACATGCATAAAATACTCATTCTTTTGCTCATTCTGTAGAAAATGACGTCTTCTTTCAATTTTATACTCGCAGGAAGGGTATAATTCGGTTTTCAAATATTTTTCCGTTTCCCGGACAATTTTGAACCCGACCTGCCGTTACACTTGTATTCAGGGTTTCTAAACCACAAGCCGCATATTTTCCGCGTACGGAAAAGTACACAGTTTTCTACGGTATTAAGAGGAGACTGCGAGAGGTTCATAAAATTTAACAGTAGATTTTAGCCACATTGTTAACTTTACAAGGCACACTGATAAGTGCAGAGACGTGAAGTTTTACGAACGGCCATTTCACAGTATTAAAAAAATCTCATAATTAGAAGCCTTTTTAATGCTGAATTATACCCTTCCTTCGAGTATAGAATTGAAAGAAGGCGTAATTTTCTACAGAATGAGCATTTCATGCATGTTTTCCATGAAATGTAATGGAATTTGGAGGGGCATCGAAAATCGATGAGAGAAATCCATGCCACTTAAGTAGTCATTTTTTACAGGGTATAGATTTTGCATGCAGCCGAAGAGAAGTTCGTTCGAAAGCCGGCATCTCACGGTAACTGAATAATTATAAGTTATAGAATTATTCTCCACGATGATTAGTTTTACAACACTACTTAATTAAAATTTTCGAGTCGGAAAAGCATTTCGGAATTTCGGTCGACATTTTATGAGTTAGCCCACCTACTGTAGGTTGACAGTCAGATCGACGCTACGGATGATGACAGTGAGTTGGTCCCGAACTTTGGTTTCGATCAATTCTTAGACAAAGGAAAATGGAATGACAAGCATCCAAGACCACCTCAATGCCTTTGCCGACAGAAAACGTCGTTGCGGAGATACAGAGCGATTGTAGATTTCATAAAGCCTGCCTTCCCCGCAACATTTAATTAACCACGGTTGACCACGACTGACTGGCCTACTTTTTTCGAGCCCATTTGGAAGACAACGAGCTTAATTTGCACCAGGACGGCTCTCAAGCATGGTCACTGAAGAAAATTCACAGATCCGTCGACTTTCACCGTTTTGCCAAATTGTTTGCCGTAGAGAAGATGGAAGCGGAGTGATCTGTTACGAGGACGTCGAGCTATGCTGCCTAGAGTTTGTGCTACTGCCGTCAAACTAATTTTGCTGTGTATCAATTCAAATCAGTACCGTAAGGCATGCTATGACAGTTCACCCGTCGAATGGTAGTTCATAATGGGACAGACTTGTATTGCACCCACTGCATTCTCTCAACTCCCTAACTACCTGCTCCGGTGACAAGGCAGTCGTAGATGCGAGCGGGAGCAGTGGCAGACAAAGTCTAAAGGTCCGTCTACGCGTGTCACACACACGACCTGGTCCCAATACACGCACCAGGCTGCCGGCATTATAGCATGACAGATACTGGACAAGCGAGAGCCGTGTGTGTGCGAAAGGCGATGGTGTCGGATTCCGGTAGCTTCCACGTAAGCTAATAACTCGGGAATGAGTCCCACAGCTGGTCCCAGAACTCCAGAACACCGATGAATGTTAGACGACGACTGGGAATCTATGGAAGTGTTCTGGCACAGGTCAACGGAAAAAATTGAGGTTTGTTGATTCAGTCCCGTCAAGGTAGCCTCAGTTGAGTGGTATGGTGACAGGATATTATAAGGCTTGTCCTTCGCCGTGACTTGCTAATCGCTATGCGACCATCTGAAAAGGCTTTAGGACGGAACCCTGCGCTTTTCAACATGCAGTCATGTACTGGGGCCGAAGCCTGTCGAAAAAGTGAGTGGGGAGGGGGGGGGG